CCATCCATCCATCCATCCATCCATCCATCCATCCATCCATCCATCCATCCATCATCATCATCATCCATCCATCCATCATCATCATCATCATCATCATCCATCCATCCATCAGGGTCTTGGTGGATCTGGTTTCTCTCTCCAGCAGTCTGAGGTTTAAAGGTTCCACCATGGCCTCGCGTCTAATGAGAATCTATAGAAGCCAGTCAACCTAACAGTCATGTTTCTGGACTGTGGGAGGAAGCCGGAGTACCCGGAGAGAACCCATGCATGCCCAGGGAGAACATGGAGACTCCATGGAGAAAGATCTGGAGCGGGAAGGCAGCAGGACCCCTCAGTGTAGCAGCGTGCCGCCCCTGGCAGGATGACATGAAGGCCAATCCAAACAGAAGAAGATGAAGAGATGTAGCCTTCATCGTCCCACAGTGGGAGAAACAAGTTACCTGAAGACTAGATTAATGAAGAATTTAAGGTTCAGCAGAAGAGAAAAACTAACTAAAACCTCTGCAGTTCTTAAGGAGAAAAGACCTTTTCAGGTAAAGAAATGAAATGTTGGAGAAGAAAAAAAAAGGAGAAACAGCGGAGAGTTCCTTCATCCCTAAAAAGGGAATGTTTCTACAGGAAGGCATTCCCAACGTCTGCAGCGCCCCATTCCCAAGTGACTCACAGTGGGCCGCTCAGGTTCTCAGTGAGCAGAACCAGAACCAGAACCAACAGAGGGAGACAGGCGGAGCCAAACAGCTTCCTACAGGGTGACGCTGATGTCACTGAGGCGACGTCCTCAGGTAGCTGAGGGATTACTGTCTGATGTCACTGAGGCGACGTCCTCAGGTAGCTGAGGGATTACTGTCTGCTGTCACTGAGGCGACGTCCTCAGGTAGCTGAGGGATTGCTGTCTGCTGCTGCAGGGTCAGACGCTCCACCTCTGGTTACTTAAAACATTGTCTGTTAGTTTAGATCCATTTTATTTAGATTTTTTTTTATTTTTTTGACTGAATATTTAACAGAAAATAAACACTAAAAGTGATCCGTGTGTTAAATATGTTTTTATATGATCAATCAAAGAAACCTGTTATGTTTATGCAGTTAAATGACAATTATGGGCTATTTTGTTACTGAATGTATTCTCAT